ATTCCTTAGCCTTAGTTCTCCCAAACTACAAAATTCCAACAAAACATTTTTCCATTCAACAAAAACAAACAAGCATTTTTGGGGGTTTAAAAAAAAAAAAAAAACCCCCCCCCCCCCCCCCAAAAAAAAAAAAAATGCTGACAAAGTGACATGTTGAGCTATGTACCGGTATAGAAGATGACCAGTTGAATAAGAATGCACATTATTATTCGAAAAAATTAAAATTAATAAAGGCACTTAATACAGTGACCAATTACAACTTAATCCATGTCATGGATATTGTGTCAATATGTCAAGAATAGTCATAGCACACATGAAGTAGGCACCTGCTTGAAGAATTCATAAAGCCTCACCTCGACCTCATTTCGGGTGTCATTGACACAGCATACCATCAGTTTCAGCAAGGGGACATGTTGAGGCTGAAATGACCCAAACACCAAGGCAGAAAGACGCTTACTGTCACATGACAAACTGTGTTTGCAGAACTGGTTCACAATTAAGACACATTTGGTGTTTGTCAACACAACAGAAGCACTGCTCAATACTTTCCACTGACAAGGGGCATTTAAGTGAGTTTCTGAATGCCATACGTAAAATGGATTGTCCATTCTTGAACTCTGCGTCAGATTTTCAGGACAGATCTTTCCCATCTTTCTTTGACGTGTGCCTGATATGCAGTGATAAAATGACAGGTACACTGGTTTTCTGAATGTCAGGCCATGTGGTCCACAGACAACAACTGGACTTGCTCTAGTCTGACACGGTGGCAGCGGTGGCATGTCTTCTTCTCTCCAACTAGTACCAATGAACATTTCTGTAGTTTCAGCCAGAGCTCCTGGAGGCACTAACAGGAATACTCCAACTTCCTTCAGGTGAACATGTCCACCTTCTGGAGTGATGGAGAATTTCCTCAGGTATGTATCTTTGAGATCATCTGTTCTGATCTCCTCCCTGCCTTGTGAGGCAGAGTGCCTGGTCTGGGGTGGTGCAGGTAATTTTAAAATTCTTTCTTCTTGAGACATACCGTCATCTCTGTCTCCTATAGCAAAGTATTGAAAAAGAATTGTCAAATCAATTGATAGAACTATATTTCTCCTGATCAAAAAGAAAAAAAAACAAAAAAAAAAACAGATTCAATACATAAATATGTCAACTTCCTCACTGCTATTGTCTGGGATAAATATCAAAAATTATAATGTGAAAAAAAATTAGTATAAACCACCCTCAGGGACAGCCCAACCCCCAAGTGTATTGAAAATCCTAATTTCCCCTGCACATGCATCCCTGATGTTTGGTTGACTATCAACATTGAAATGCAATCCCTCTAATTGTATAGGAGAAGACAGCAGAAATTAAAATGTAGAAATATTTATTTATCCCTCCTCCCGGGCACAGCCCAAATCCCCAGGTCCACTTAAATCCAAAGTCCCCATGCACATCATTTATGATAGGTCTATCAAACCCAAAAGTTTGAAGCTCAACGTGCATTTTAGTCATTTGATCTGTGCTTTAGGTACACTTATCAGTTTTCTTTGAAATGTGTTAGCTGTATTGCATATAGTTAAAGGGATAATAACTCTTTGTATGATATCTTTATTTCACAATAAATACATTGTGAACAACTCATAGAAATATAATATATTCTGTTTTACCACAAAAACAGCAGTTTAAGCTATTATTCTGATATCTGAGCTTTTCTTCAGATCACGTGACTTCCACTGATAGCTGTACTCTGTTATAATCTCTTAAGAGATTTTAACAAAAAAACAAACTTTTTAGAAAAAAAACAGGGACTTACTTTGAATGTAAAAATGGATTCATTAACCATTGGTAAGTATGGGAAAAGTGTTGTTTCCTCCAGGAAAATTCATTTATTTTGCCAAAACAAAGAGTTATTATGTCTTAAAACATGTAAAAAAAAACAAACAAAAAAACAAAAAACAAAACAAACCAAAAAAAAAAAAAAAACATCAGTTTTGAAAGAATAATTTGATCAAGCCAGCTGGGCCTTTCTTTTCATTGGTTCTGCAGCTTTAAAGACAGAAGTGTATATGGTTTTCCACTCAGAGTTAAAGTATATGGCATCAGCATCGGTGGCGACAAAGGCAGGTGAGGCTGGGGTAGCGCTAGCAATTTTTTTCTCTTAGGCAAATCACCACTTTTTTGTCAATTTGTTATCAAAATGGTTATAATTTGACTAAAAAAAGTCAAATCAAGCCCTTTTTCTTTAGCCAATTTAAGCAAGTTTTAGCATTTGGCTAAACTGGTGAGTGTTAGCGCTACCCCAGTGAAGGTTATATGTATAAACACAATGTGTCTGTTCATAAAAATACTGCGAACTGGAAGAAAAGCAACAAAGAAATGAAATTAGACAGTAGAAAAACCAGCTGTAATGAAACCAAGGTATCAAAGAATTTTCAAACAACATCAAACTGATACAGAAAATAAATATCTTAATTATACTTTTTTTTAAATATATATTTCATGTTCTAAGATAATTTACCTCCAGTATCACTTGGTAATGTTGTGGCAGGTGGGGTAACACTATGCTCCTGTTGAATAAAAGAAACCCAGTCATCAGATACTTAGAGTATTCATTTGTTTACAAAATAAATATATTTCACAAAGATACATGTAATATTCATGTACACAGTACAAGTTATCACTGAGGTGCACTCCCATTATATATTTACATGACTTACCTTCTCACTTGAGTCTGGCATAAACCACAGTCTGTACACTGAATCCTCAGGTAGCCCACATGCTGCGAGATCAGTCTCCTTCGGATCTATTGCCATCAGCTCATCTCTGATCTTTGGCTTTCTTGGATCTCTGACACACCATTCTAGATGCAAATGTGGGCAGATGGTCTGCTTAACTTGCTGAATTTGCATCAAAACATGGTTCTTCCACTTAGCATATGCCCCTCGGATTGTTCTGTCAAACTTTGTTGTTGCAGGATATAAGGGAATCAGTTCAATGTAAGAGGATTTCGTTGACTTTCTCAAAGCACAACGCGCTCTTCTGAGTGGATCGATTACATATACAGCATAATCGTAGTACAACTCATTTTGAAAGAGAAAAAAGTCACCTCTTCTCCTTAATCCTTTCTTACCTGAAGATGTGTCATTTTGAACTAATTTCACTGTAAGCCGGTTGAAAAGCACATGTGGCATAAAGTTCTCTTTCCCTTGTATAAATAGTGTTCCTTCACTGCCAACCCCAGATTCTGGATTCTTGCATAACTGGAGTAAGCTGGGCACATAGAACTGTCGAGAAGTAGGCTTTTCTGTTGTACCTGGCTTGACGTCCTGTTGGAAAAGAATGTTGAATTGTACCATAACACCGATTACAATGGACTTCAATTCACTGTCATCTCCCCATAGCTCATCCAAAAGTCTTTCATCTAAGATGCCCCTCTTTAATGCAGACCAATACGGAGTCCCTTTGGCTTTGACATGGTGTTTATCAACTGCTATGATAGACCTGAATGCATCTATCAGCCATGTTGGATTCAGAATGACAGTGTCTGAAAGATCATCAGTCTGAAAGTGCATAAGATCTCCAATGTCATGATGGAACTGGAGGAATGACTTCAGCTCAATGGCATCCTGCATTCCAACTTCGAGGGCTAAATTTTGCAGCTCCTCATACCTTATCCACCTTTTTCCTCGTTTCTCGGGTGCTCGTCGCAGCTGAAGATCTTCTTCTAATCTAATCCATCTTATTGGATTCTTCTCTCCCCAAGATTTTTGGCTTTCAGCAATTTTCATAATATATCGACGGAGATCAGATATTTCTTGATCTTCATTTTGACATGTGTTGTCAATTGCAAAGAAACGAGGATCAACATGCACACCACTTCTCTTCTGTTGTATATGCTGCCGCAATTTAGCAAAGTACGCATTTATTTCTTCTTCATGCTGTAAGAGAATGGGAGAAACAGTTTATCAACACACTGCAAGCAAGCTTCAATCACATATTTTATCAGCCAATTGTCAGAACTTTTTTTTAAGAACAAACAGTTTAATTTAATTAATTAATTTATTGTTATTATAATTTTTGTTTGTTTTAGTACTAATGCCTACCTTTTCTTTGGGAACATTTTCCAGGTATTTGTCTTTATGTGTGCAAGCAATGATTATTCGGGGGGACAATACCCCATCTTCACTTATGTTTTGCTGTTGCGCATAAGTATGGATTGCATCTATCCAATAATCAGTAAAGTCTGGAAATATATCAGACACATTTCAAAATGTATTTTACTACCACTTTTTTGCGGTTTGATCTATTTGAGTATAGAAAGCTGTCTCACTAACATGATGAAATATGAGTATTCTATGGATACTATATATATACATATATATATATATATACACACACACACACACACACCAGTAATATATATATATATATATACCAGTAATATTTACTAGTAATAGTGCTTTGTTCCCAAGCAAGCCCTGAAAATGCTACGTGAAAACAACAATTATATAAATAGACAAACAAGACCAAATTTTACTGAGACNGCAAAGTACGCATTTATTTCTTCTTCATGCTGTAAGAGAATGGGAGAAACAGTTTATCAACACACTGCAAGCAAGCTTCAATCACATATTTTATCAGCTAATTGTCAGAACTTTTTTTAAAGAACAAACAGTTTAATTTAATTAATTAATTTATTGTTATTATTATTTTTGTTTGTTTTAGTACTAATGCCTACCTTTTCTTTGGGAACATTTTCCAGGTATCTGTCTTTATGCGTGCAAGCAATGATTATTCGGGGGGACAATACCCCATCTTCACTTATGTTTTGCTGTTGCGCATAAGTATGGATTGCATCTATCCAATAATCAGTAAAGTCTGGAAATATATCAGACACATTTCAAAATGTATTTTACTATCACTTTTTTGCGGTTTGATCTGTTTGAGTATAGAAAGCTGTCTCACTAACATGATGAAATATGAGTATTCTAGGGATAATATATATGAAAATGCTACGTGAAAACAACAATTATATAAATAGATAAACAAGACCAAATTTTACTGAGGCATATATTAATTTTGAGCAAACCAGATTCAATTTAAGAATTTTAACTACAATCAAAATTTCATATCTGCTAGCTGGTATACAGCAACACAATTGGTAGTAAAATGATTTGATGAAACACTTGTACAACTGATTGTTAATTATATACTCACTAACTGATGCACAATTGTGAGCTGGTGGATTCCTTACCAAGAATAGTTCCTGAGAAGTGTTCAGCACCATGCCATTGGTCGTCAAGCCTGTCTGTTAAAGCAAGGCTCATATCAATGGCAAGAATGTAAATAGCTCTGGAAGAAAGGAATGTGTGGTGGGTGTTGTAATACACACTTTGTCCTCCAAAATCCCAGACTGCTAGACGAGCTGGTGGATTTTCAATGTCGTATGAGCTTTCTGTCAAATGTGTTAAGACATCAGGCGGGAGCTCCATACTCTCCTCTGTTTTTAAATGGGACAAAGCCTCCTTGGAACTACTAGGGCTGGGCTGATGTTCTAAAAATATAAATGTACACAGTGTACATATTTCAGTATTAAAAATGAATACACACAAATCTAATCGATTACTTGTATGAACTACAGTATAAAAGCTAGAGGGCTTTACACAGTGATGGCTTGATCATTTCAACAGAGACATAGACTGGGTTCCCATACCTAGATCGATCTAACAGGATCGGTCCATCTCCAAGGGGTTTCTCGCTATATTGCTTTAAAGATGCATACAAAGTCAATTTTTTGTCACAAAAACCAACCAAATGCCAGCATATAGTTTCAAGTAGTATAACTAAGAGAATTACCTAAAGGCATTGTTTAATTTTACCCGAAAATGATGTTTGAATGGATTTTCCTGCTGGCATTCTAAGCTGTATGTCAATGGGGCAGGAAAGTAGGTCACGAATGTAGGTTAAATTTACAACCATAAATTTAAAGAAAGGAGCAGTCTAAAGGTCTTTTATGGCTGATCGAGTGATCAATTCAGTTTATCCCTTGGCATGTCGAATTTATTTGAGTCAAATAAGAATCTAGTAGAAGTGGTTTACATGTGTTACTGGGAATCCACGCTCCACCGATGCTCAGTTCGTATGTACCTTTAAGCTTAAGCAGCTTAGATGTCTGGAATGCCTACTAAAGCTGCTCAGGGATAGTTAATTACCACTGTCAGCTTCTGTAGGTGTGACAGACTTCTAAGCCACTTTAGCTAATTACAATTTAGCAAGAATCTCCTAAGAGATAGATCAATCCAAAGTTAGTATGATAGGGTCTGGGAATGGTCCTGTAATTTTGAAATAACTGACAATTTCTAATGTAGCATTTTGGTGCTTCTACTGTATAGAAAAGAACTATTAGGGTGTCTGCTTTTCAATTGTGTTGTTATCATTAAACATGAATGTTCTAATTTTAGAATATGTTACTTAAAAAATACAGTATCTGCTAAATTCATTAATTCCAAGTTTGAAATGATGAAGCCATTACCTTATGCCATAACATACTATGCTAATGTGGGTGAGACGCATTGAGAATAAAAAAATTGCCATATTTATAGTAGACAAGGATATTTTAACAACATTCGTAGTACAGATAGATACCCAGTAAAAAACTGCATGTTAATATGTCTTGTCTTATTGTCATACTACTTTTGATTCAGGGGAAAAAGACTACCTGCTCCACTGTGCATCCTGATCTGTCATTACATATTGATGGCAATTAATTATGGGTTAATATAATTGCAACAAATTTCTAAGATGTGAAAAACCCTACTGTACCCCTTTCCTTAATAATAATAATAATAATAATAATAATAATTTATTGTCATATTTATACAAATATAAAATGAAAGTTGGTATGATCTGTCGATAAAATGTGATACAGTGGAATTATTAAAATACATTTTGTTCATTGTGATGCCGAAATTTGTCCACCTGTTGATAAAGTGTTCTCATCTTCAAGTCTTGGGCCAACTTGCCATAAAAAGAGAGAAACAATGCAAATTAAATACATGTTTAGATCTTTTCTACTTGTGCAGTGTGCATCTTTATGCATAAACCACTAAAAGCCTATAAAATCAAGATCTCATATAACTATGCAACTTGTAATCTTTATGCTCCATCATAATACTCATGTGCCACTAGTGGGCTTGATTTGGTCTTAAAGTGCAAATTAATATCACAAATAGTCTTACATGATCTTAAAACATGAGTAGGGCCATTTATGGTCTGACAGCCAATTAAGTTGTCTCCCCTTACACATTCTCCTATTGTGAGCAGAGGTGTCCTCTATTGTGAGAGAAGGTATCCCCCATTGTGAGGGGAGGAAATTGCTTGACCACTTACAAGTAAATAGATGTTAGATCATTTTTTATCTTAAAAGCAGATTCAGTCCATTTTAATATTACTGCTGTAATGATTAAGATCGTGTAGGATCACTTGTGTTCTTAATTTGCACTTTAAGACTAAATCTAGCATACTAGTGTGCCCTGTATTTTAATGGTTTTCTTTTCTTCATATTTTTATAATGTTTGATATACCTGCTATAATTTTCTCTTGAATAACATCAGACTGCATTTCTGGAGACTTCGATGTAGCTTGTCAAGATAAAAAGTAAAGGACTAATGTATCTGTGTGGTACAACATGTATATAACGAGATAAGATGATGTGGGTAAATGAAATATTCAGTATTTTTTCNTATCTAACAGGATCGGTCCATCTCCAAGGGGTTTCTCACTATATTGCTTTAAGCTTAAGCAGCTTAGATGTCTCAAATGCCTACTAAAGCTGCTCAGGGATAGTTAATTACCACTGTCAGCTTCAGTGGGTGTGACAGACTTCTAAGTCACTTTAGCTAATTACAATTTAGCAAGAATCCCCTAAGAGATAGATCAATCCAAAGTTAGTATGTGCCACTAGTGGGCTTGATTTGGTCTTAAAGTGCAAATTAAGATCACAAATAGTCTTACATGATCTTAAAACATGAGTAAGGCCATTTCTGGTATGACAGCCAATTAAGTTGTCTCCCCTTACACATTCTCCTATTGTGAGCAGAGGTGTCCTCTATTGTGAGGGGAGGTGTGCCCCGTATTTTAATGGTTTTCTTTTCTTCATATTTGTATAATGTTTGATATACCTGCTATAATTTTCTCTTGAATAACATCAGACTGCATTTCTGGAGACTTCGATGTGGCTTTTCAAGAAAAAAAGTAAAGGACTAATGTATCTGTGTGGTACAACATATATATATAACAAGATAAGATGATGTGGGTAAATGAAATATTCAGTATTTTTTCTTACAATCAGTATGCATTTTGATCCATCACTGCCATTTGTACTTAAAGTGGGTTGTGGTGTAATAGTTAAATAACAAAATGTAATAATTAATAAATAAATATATAAAATGCAGGGTATGAAATTCGTATAAATTTGAAGCCGGACAGCAGGGCTGGCAACTTGAAAAGTAGCCAGCCCTGACCAAAAGTAGCCAGTCCTGAATTTTTTTTGAAAATTACCTGATTAAACCAATTGCAGGCAAGAACGATATTGAAACAAGGACTCTTAGTCTCAATGTGAATTTATTCAAGTAGATTCTTCCCTGACAGCATCTGAAACGTTATGCTCTGAACCCAAATCAGAAAATTCTGATTCACTGTGACTGTCATAATCAGTCTAGTTGCATGAACCACTTGTTACAAATGTTCCATGGGCATACTTATGAAATCTTTCTGGTTGTTGACTAGAAACCAATGGTGCAAATACACTTCGATAGGTCTTGCAAAAAAGTTTGACCTTTTACCTATCAGTCTCATCACATGAAGTTTAACTAAGTCTTTAAAAAAATACTGAGCTGGAGGTGGGGGGGGGGGGGG